TCTCTGTAAATTGCAGTAATGTATATGTATTGATCACTCCACAACTCAAAATCTATACTGACTATACCTCCACTCAGGGGTACACCTGTTTGTTATAGTCCCTCCCACTGACACCTGTTTGTTATAGTCCCTCCCACTGATACATGTTTGTTATTGTCCCTCCCACTGACACCTGTTTCTTATAGTCCCTCCCACTGATACATGTTTGTTATAGTCCCTCCCACTGACACCTGTTTCTTATAGTCCCTCCCACTGATACATGTTTGTTATAGTCCCTCCCACTGACACCTGTTTCTTATAGTCCCTCCCACTGATACATGTTTGTTATAGTCCCTCCCACTGACACCTGTTTGTTATAGTCCCTCCCACTGACACCTGTTTTTTTTATAGTACCTCCCATTGACACCTGTTTGTTATAGTCACTCCCATTGACACCTGTTTCTTATAGTCCCTCCCACTGACACCTGTTTCTTATAGTCCCTCCCACTGACACCTGTTTCTTATAGTCCCTCCCACTGACACCTGTTTCTTATAGTCCCTCCCACTGACACCTGTTTCTTATAGTCCCTCCCACTGACACCTGTTTCTTATGGTCCCTCCCACTGATACCTGTTTCTTATAGTCCCTCCCACTGACACCTGTTTGTTATAGTCCCTCCCACTGACACACTATTGCATTAGTCTTTTCCACTCCACACCAGTGTAGTCTAGTGTCTCTCCTATTGACACACCTGCCTGATCAAGCCCCTCCCACCGATACACCTATGTGTCAAATCTGTACAAGGTTGTCTCTTCCACAGCCCAAACTATTAACTTTAGCCCCTCCCACACCTGTTTCCTCCTATCAGCTTGCATACACCTGTCTGTTTTGTCTCTGCCATTGGCACATATGTCAGTCAGAGTCCCACTCCTATATAATATAGGCACAGATGTCTGTTATGAATGCACTGACACACCGGTGTGTACTAGTCCACCACATATTCTGTGCTCCAGCTACTCCCGTTGAAACACCTGGGTGCACTAGTCACTCTTATTGCCACACAGTTATACTTTAGTACCTACTGCCAATTAGTATACCTGACTGTTTTAGCCCCTCCCACTGACACACCCACCTTTTATAGCATTTATCACTACACGCCTGTTTGCTGTAGTCCCTCCTACCAAATACTGGGAGTATTATTGCTGTTGAGCTCTGCTATATACTCAGACACATTACTGGGAGTATTATTGCTGTGTAGCTCTGTTACACACTCAGACACACCAACAATATGGAGCTCTGTTATACACTCAGTCACATTACGGGGAGCAGTGGCGTACACATGACCCATGGGGCCCCGGTGCAAA